GTATTTCTCATATTCTAATCTTGACCAATGTATCATCTACGTAACAGAAATTTAAGGTCATCTTATCCACTTCCTCCATGTACAGGTTATCTACAATGCAAGGAACAGGTGACCCTATAGTAAATAAATTAGGGTATGCAGCGCTATGTCAAATAATAAATCATTTACAATAACAGATCCCAGCAAAAAATGCTGAACCAAACACATCAATTGGAGTATAGAAAGTCTTAAACGTGATGAAATAAATACAGCAATAAGCTGATATAGATGGAAAATGTATCAGGAACGTCAGATGTACATTTGATCCTAAATACTGGAGGTTGTAGTACAATAATGCGCTTACCACAGGAACATACAAACTGAGCGTTGTATGTATGTCATCAGGTGTACCATCAGCGAATGGAAAAGCCTGGACAGCACAGCGGGCATTAACCTACCATCCACAGTAGACACTCAGGGATATCAGCAAACACTCGGGGGTCATATCTGGCTCACCAATGAGTCCAATGACATCCAGCCTCCTGGTGGTACTTCTCCTGGTTTAATCCACCTTGCACGGCTCGTAAATAACGAGCAAAAAGGCAAAATGGTGCTAATAGTGAAGCATATCTTTATTTGAATAACTTCCAAAGAAAAATAACATCAAACTCACATTTGACCCAGTCCCCAGGTATTCCAGGTATGTTCCAGGTTCCCTGGTGGCTAATGGCTCCCTGGTGGTCAGTGGCATCAGCTGGGTGGATCCCCTAACATGTTTTGAGCTCAAGCTCGTTATCAAAGGGGTCCCTATATCAATAGGTGACCCTATAGCACAGCTGTTCTGTATATAGGAGTGTTTGAAATAGGTGGTGGTGAGACAAAGGTCCAACAAGGAACATACATGGTCTGGCTTGAGTTCTGTTTGACTGTCAAGAGTTTCTTGTTTCAGATGTTTCTGTTTTCAGTTGGTATACAACTATAAAGGGATGTGGCATCATAGGACACCATTATTTGCTTTAACTCTATATTCAATCCATGAGCCTTTTTGACAGATTCTTTGGAGTTCTGAATATGATGACCTGGTGCCTAAGATTTGTCGAGCCCTGCATTAAACCTCCCTGTAACCTCAAACTATACTTCCCTGTAACCATCAACCTTACCCTCTGTGCCCAGGACCAACCATCCCTCGATAAAAGATACCAAGGTCTTTGCACTAGAATTTATTAATTCGATTCTGGCAATGTGGTTGTGTGTACAAAGTCTGAGTTGTCAGTATTTGTCAATGCTGTTCTTCATAGTATTATTATTATTATTATACAGGATTTATATAGTGCCAACAGTTTGCTCAGCGCTTTACAATATAACGGGAGACAATACAGCAACAATACAGTTCAATACAAGAGGGATAGGAGGGCCCTGCTCCTTGGAGCTTACAATCTAGGACATTTTGGTTTGTCAAGCCAGCTCCTAATACCACCAGTGGTGTCCAATATATAACATCAATATAGCTAAAAGATATTGTTAATTTATAAAAGAAATCAGTATTTGGTTAAAGAAAATGTGTAGATCATTTGGGCTTTCTTTTTCATAATAACCCTCTAGCTTACAAGCCTGTTCATTGAAAAAAAGAAACCTGTACTGAGAGAAGATGGAGCCATTGCTGACCTTTCCTTTGGATAATTCCTAGCAATAACGCTAAGCCAATAGATTCAGTGCTTCCTGTGGTAGTGAACCAGCACAATTATGGAAATCAAGAGTTAATTTACTCTGACTTTTTGATTTACATGCTTCTTTCACATCACTGTCTCCAAAAGCATTGCAGCCAGGCAGCTAGCAATTTCAGAAAGTGGTCAGCAAAAATAACTTTGAGATTTGTTTTGTATCATGAGCCCTAAAACAATGCAAGAAATGGGATAATACATGATGATAAGATGATATCTAGTTAATATGGATTAATGTGCATTGTGCATAATTTTTTTTAACTTTTCAGGCATGTGTCAGCATATGGGATGCAGGGTGTAAAGGAAAACCTGTTTATTACGAACTCCTTCATGACTAACCTTTGATTGGTATGCCAAGAAAGTGAACTTATTTCCTTGTATTTCAAATTATAAGCATTTTTCTATGTATTATTTTCTATGGCCTTGTGTTTTTTTTTCCTGTACTGATTTTGATTGCACAAGGACACAACAGTGCATCCGGCTTTATATTCGTTGTATATAGTTGGTCTCCTGCCTCTATCCCTTCATATGCACTCTGTGTAATCATTCATTTCACAAAGAGGAAAACCAGAGATAAACAGAATATGCTTTATAAGAAGCTATTGCCAGATGGGAGAATAGAGGAGGGAGGTGCATGGGAAATTTGGCGTAATGAGGTTGTCATGACAACGCACATCTATCTGTGTGTTAGGCACCTGAAATTAATTTTACCTGCATCACCTGGGCTACAGGACACACACTTTTCAAAGTCACAATGAAATTGTGGTAAGATGTCCTGTTTTGCATTTGATCAATTAGGCTTATTCAGTTAGGTGATGCATTGAATAATAAAATATGAAAATACATTATACAATAGCAGCCAATCAGAATTCAGTATACTGTAGGCAGTGAAATATGGATTCTGATTGATTCCTAATGGGTTAGTATAATTTGCATATTGCTTCTTGATCATGTTCAAGTTTCATTTGAACAGCTCTTTAATTTGAAGAGTTAGTAGTGGTTATAATTGAATGTATGGCTTACTGAAATGTAGAAGTAGTATGGAGAGAATATGAAACTGTTCAATATACTGTATATACAGACATATGCAAATGTATTACCACTTTGTTAATGCATGTCTCCTTTACATCAACAGAAAACAGGAGCTGTCAAACTCTTCAGAAGTCACAGTTCCGGATCGTCCTTTGTCACCACCAGCTACAGCACCACCAACCATGAAGGTAAATGCATATTCTAGATTGTATTATAACATGGTAACTTCACAGAGCTACACCATGTGAGTTATATGCTTCACTCTGCTATCTTCCTCCTCTGTGTGGACATATGACATTGACTGATTCACAAAAGGGATTACTTCATGTTATCAATGTAAATGCTACATAAGCTATTTCTTGCAGAATCTTACTATTCTGTGGTATTTACACACTTCTGGAAAAAAAAAAGGTTGTCATAAACGATATCACTCCTTAAGATACTCCTAGCTTCTGTTCGGCAACAATTATGAGGTTTTATGAAGTGTCTATCGAGGACAACAAAAAATGCCTTTAAGCATGAGATAATTCTGATTCATGAAATTCATGGGATTCATATCGATAATGAGAAATGAAGGCACTTCATCAAACCAAAAAAAAATTGTTTTGTTTTTTTTTTTGTACAATTGGGGAGATTTCTCTTTATTTCCAGTCCAGTAGACACTATAGAAAGAGAGAGAAACTCACTGGAATATGTGTCCCCATTGGAAGACTTACCCCCTTTTCCTGTTTTGGGAAAAACTGGTATAGGGGAACATTTTGGATTTTCAATCCTAGTGACAGTGGTCACCAGGAAAAATAACAGGAGTAAATCAACCTAAAGCCCCTGTTAATACAGACCATGTCTGGCCCAATCAGGAGGGGATCTGTTATCAGATCACCTGCTGAATTGTAGCAGAAAAGATATCACTTTTGTGACATGCCTATCTGATCACTTTTTTGCTACATTTAAAAACAGGAGCTTTCTGGACCCATATTAGATCTTTGTGCACCAGGACGTGCATTGGATATGAATGGACTGTGTCCGTATACATCAGACTGCTTCAGATCTGTCACATTTAGGTCTGAAAAAACAGAAAAGGATGCAGAACTTTTGCATTTTGTTTTTTTTTTTAAATCCTGGATACTCTGTTTACATCCAGCTGTCCTTAGAACATGGAGCTTCAGGTCAAGGCCCTTTGAGAAGTTGACAGCCAGACCTGACCAGACTCCCATATGAATGGGACCTAATGGGGTCAACAATTAAAACGGGAGTTCTAATCTCTCTAATCTCTTTAAGTATCCATTTAATGTAAAAAAAGTAATTAATCATCTATTTATTCTTTATGTTCATGATGGGGTTAACTTGCTTTCAATGACCCAGTGACAGAAGTGCTTTAAAACATATTTCCACTTATGCAATCAAATTTGATAAAACCCTGTTAAGTGTTTGTTATGTGTTTCCATTCACACAAATATTGAAGAACATATGTCATATGCAAAGTGGGATTTTATTGCCAACAATATGAACACAAACATTGCTTAAAATATACTTTATTCAAACATACTATACATTGTTATTCAAAATACATCAGTGTGAGTGAAATACATGGTAGTCATCATCAACCCAACTTCGAAAAGTTATTTGTATGGTTGTTAAACAAAAACCTCACTTATTACACGATGGTAATTTGTTCATAGATAGACAAATATAATTCAAGGTAGTCAGTCTGTAGTTTCTTCAACATGTTTCACGATGAGCGACATTAGGAGGATGCACTGCATAATGAGTATTCATCATATAGAAAAAAACATGGTAAATATAAACATTAGAGTACACAAAAGTGTGAAAATGACATTGGCACATCATTCACCACCATAATTATGCTGCACTCATGCGTTGCACCCTCACATGTTGGCTAAGTAGGTTTCACACTTCATGTACTCTAATGTTTATATGTACTATGTTTTTTTCTATATGATAGATACTCAATACGTAGTGCATCTTCCTGGTAAAGCCTATTGTGAAAAGCGTTGAAGAAACTATTAACTAACTACCTTGAATGATATTTGTCTATCTATGAAAAAGCCATCACTGTGTATTAAGTGATCTATTTGCGTAATAACCATACCAATAACTTTTCTGTTGATGGTGACTACCATGTATCTCACTCACAATGGTGTATTTTAACTGCTTCCACGGTGCCCCATAGCAGAAATACTGCTACAGTGCATCACGGCTGCGCAAAATTACGTATATATACGTGATTTAGCATTTTGGGCAGGGGGCGCACCCCGCCATTTATGGCCTTGGCTGTCAATCACCAGGTCCCGGCCGGTGATTCCCCATCGGCACCCGGTGATCTCCAAGTATCTCCGATGGAGGAGAAACCTGTATGTAAACAATACTGATCTCTCCCGTCAGCTCCTGCAACTGCTTTGTATGGCTCTGCATAGCAAAGCCATACAAAGCAGTGTGCTTACAGTGTAAAGCAAACACAGCCCACATAGTAAAACAGCACACAGCTAACCCTTTCATCGCCCCACATGTTAACCCCTTCCTGCCCAGTGTCATTAGTACAGTGTCAATGCTTTTTATTAGCACTGATCACTGTATTGGTGTCATGGGATGTCAGTGATACCAAGTCAGTTACGCCCAGTGTCAGAATGCCCGCCGCAGTCCCGCTATAAGTCACTGATCATCAACATTACTAGTAGAAAAACAAATTCCAGTATATATACCGCCATTTGTAAACTCTTTAACTTTCACATAAACCAATTAATTTACACATATTGGGATATTTTTTAGCAAAAGCATGTAGCAGAATACATTTTGGCCTAAATTTATGACGAAATTTGATTTTTTACATTTTTTTACTAGACCTGTTCAATAGTAAAAAGTAAAAAATATTGTTTTTTTTTTTTTTTTAATTTTAGTTTACAGCACAAAAAATAAAAATCACAGAGGCGATCAAATACCACTGAAAGAAAGCTCTATTTGTGGGAAAAAAGGACATACATTTCATATGGTTGCAGCATTGCATGACTGTGCAATTGTCAGTTAAAGTAACTTAGACCCATATCGCACAAAATGGACTTGTCAGGAAGGGGGGTAAATCCTCTGGAGGGCAAGTGGTTAAATAATGATATATGATGGAATAATTTATATGTTAAGTAATATTTGTGTTCATACTGTTGCCAGCTTAAAAGTCCCACTTTGCATATGACATATGTTCTTCAATACTCGGTTAACCGCATGCCGCCCAGCCACTGTACATATATACTGCGGCAGGGCGGCACTCACAGGCAAAACCACGTTTTAAGACGTGTGTTTTGTAAACAAATAGGGGGCGCGCGCGAGGCGCGCCACCACCCTATTTGTCCCGCGGTTCTCTGCCGCAGATGTCAGTCGCCCGGTCACAGCCGCTCCTTAGCAGCTATGTCCCGGCAATCGGCGGCAAACAGTGACAAGAGAGCACAGCTGCAGTAGCTGTGCTGTCTGTCACTTCCCTGACAGCTCGAGGATGAGCTGATCGAGAAAGAACAGTTTTTCTTTCTCGATCAGCCTTGTCCCGCCCAGCACACACCCCCTCGCCCTAGTAAAACACTCCCCTCACTCCTATAACCCTTCCCTGCTAAATAAAGTTAACCCCTTCCTCCCCATTGCCATTAGTACAGTGTCAGTTTTTTTTTTTTGCACTGATCACTGTATTAGTGTTTTTGGGGATGTCAGTGACCCCAAGTCAGTACCCCCCAATGTCAAAATGTCCGCCGCAGTCCCGCCATAAGTCGCTGGTCGCTGCCATAAGTCCCTGATCGCCGCCATAATTCGCTGATTGCCGCCATTATCAGTATAAAAAAAAAACCTAAAAATCCCAGTATCTTTCCCGCCATTTGTAAACGCTATAACTTTCACGTAAACCAATTAATTTACACGTATTGGATTTTTTTTAGCAAAGACTTGTCGCAGAATGCATTTTGGCAGAAATTTATGACTAAATTAGATTTTTGCATTTTTTTTTTACTGGACATGTTTTATAGCAAAAAGTCCAAAATATTGTTTTTTTTTTCCTCAAAATTGTCAGACTTTTTTTTTTATAGCGCAAAAAATAAAAACTGCACCGGCGATCAAATACCACCGAAAGAAAGCTCAATTTGTGGGGAAAAAAAGGATGTAAATTTCATTTATGTACCATATTGCATGACTGCGCAATTGTCCGTTAAACTAGCGCAGTGCTGTATAGCAGAAAAAATGGCGTAAATTGCAGTATTTATAGCATAGTTTGTAGAAGCTATAACTCCACACAAAAACAATCAATATACACTTATTGGGATATTTTTTACCAAAAACATGTAGCAGAATACATTTTGGCCTAAATTTATAACTAACTTTGAGTTTACTATATATTTTTTATAGCTGAAAATAAAAAATATTGTTTTTCTTCAAAATTTTTGGCCTTTTTTTGTTTATAGCGTGAAAAATAAAAAGCGCACAGATGATCAAATACCACCGAAAGAAAGCTCTATTTGTGTGAAAAAAAGGACGTAAATTTCGTTTGGGTGCAGCATTGCATGACCGCGCAATTATCAGTTGAATTAGTGCAGCGCTAAGTAGCAAAAAGAGGCCTGGTCATTAAGGGGGGTAAATCCTCAGGAGCTCAAGTGGTTAATTGGAGATGTGGTGCCCAAATGATTCTACATTAGTCTCTATGAGTGATAATTCACAATCACACAGCATGCTTAAAATAAAAATATATTTCTTACCCTTTAGATGTTTATTAGGAGGAAGAATCATGGCTGACTGCAAGGTTTTTTGAACAATGTTTTAATGAGTTTATCCTCCTTAACATACAATAGAAGCTCAGCCTCTACACCTTTAACCCTTTGTTAGGACAGACAGTGTTCAATTGCTAATGAAAATCTGCTTGCACAGTACAGATGGGGTTAATTTTGACAAACACAGCTACCCAGCCCCCTCATAAACAAAGAAAATTACCTAGGATTTTTCCTTGCTGGAGGGTCTAGGACAGTGTTTCTCAACCTTTTTTCAGTCAAGGCACCCTTTAAAATTATGGGCAGTCCTGAGGCACCCTTTATAATTATGGACAGTGTTGAGGCACCCCATTCTAAAATGTGAAAAACTATTCTAATAAAACCCAACATTAGAGGTGATTTATTCTTCCAAAGCAAATACACTTTTGCACACTGGTACTGAGTAGTATTCCAGTGTTTCTCTTCTCCCTCAGTGTTTTCTCCATCATTGAGCTAATGTGACCCCAGCACTGATGGAGAGGGGCGGGGGAGGGTCAAACTAGGATGCTGTGCAGGCAACAGACATCTTCATCAACTGGTGATGTCATTGGTTGTCAGGACACTGGCGGCTAAAAGGTCTTAATGGTGCACAATGAGAACCTGTGGCTTTGTGTAACTAAAAGGCAGGCTTGTTGCACCCGCTGGCTTGTATACAATTTTTGGGCAATTTTTAGACATTTTGCCAAGGCACCCCTGAAGAAATCTCAAGGCACCCTGGTTGAGAAAGGTTGGTCTAGGATACAGCATCTATAAAAGGTACACTGCATTTTTTAAATATCTGTTTAGGTTATGCCATGTGAATTGGGGACATGTATCAAATGTAAAGTATGTGTTATCCCAATTTGGCTGCAAAAGTGGAAATACACTTTAAGTACATCTGTAAAGGACATTTATTGGTGGTGATGGTGGGAGCTGTACTGAAATGTGTTAAGGGTTTATACAGCCTTTTAAATAAACAATAAACCAGTTCATATTGTGTAATGGATCCCATCTTCTAACAATTAATGGATGTACTACAACAGTGTAACAAAAGAACATGTTCTCCACGTGATGTTATTTAGACACTAGAGTAGAGTAGATACTACACATGTGTGTACCATGCTACTCCCACACAGTATAAGACATAATGTGTCTGTGGTTTGCTGTATTTTGGGACTACTCAACCATGAAAGCATTTTTTGGCTTCAGACTTATTTGCCTAAGTTACTGCAGACAAAGAACACACCTTCAATACACATTACACTTAACTTGCCATAATGGATACAGAGCTGACTTCCCAGCATAGGAACATTGTTAGCAAGAGAGTAATAGAACAGGTCCATCAATATCAATCTCTGTCCAATTATCTTCTTGTTGACTTCAATGGAAGCAAACTAAGTTCTTTGAAGCCACTTTCAGTTTATCTCCCTGGCTCTTTAGAATAAGAATATTTTTCTTTATACATCAATTTGTCAATAGCACCTATTTCAAGGCAAAATTTGGCTTAACCCTTTTGGAACTCGAGTTCATTGATGCATAGATAACCAGACCAAATGTAGAAATGCTGGTATGCTTCTGTTAACTAGATAGTAGTGCTATGACTAACATTATTCTACAGATTACAGACACTGTGGGGTCAAAACAAGCTTTCAGACCTACAGAGGTGAGCACAGGCACAGAAATGCTTTCAGACACGATGCACCATTAATTTTTAAATTGCGGGATTGCAATTCCAGGCTTGATCACAATAATAGCTTATTTGATGTGTAACCTACTGAAGTCCATTTTATGGATGTGGCAGAATTACCCTTGTTACTTTAAATCATTACATTTATTTCTAACTTAAAGTAGTTCAGGCCCACCCCAATTATGATGATGAGATTTATTTTAGACCTAATAATTAGACCACATGTGGTGTGGAGGATATTATTAAAGCCATCAGATAGCTGAATGACGGGAATGGCAGTGATGAACTTGGTGACCGGAGTTTCAGAATCTTCACAAGCGATCATCAGGCTGAGGTTGTACTGTATTTGTTTTTATTGTATAGTTATCTATGATTGGATTTCTCAAATTTTAATAATGGTGACCAAAGGTTCCAGAAGCTACCAATCGTTTTGGCTTCAGAGGATAGAAGTAGGTATGTGTCTCATTTTTATATCCTTGTCCTTGGTCCTTGGACTTCGTTTGTAAAGCATTGTATCCTATATTTTCTGTTAAAGGCACTAAAAAAAACCTCCTAGCTACTGAAGGTATTCAAAATACAGTATATTGCCAAAAGAATTGGGACATCTGTCTTTACACACACATGAAGTTTAATAGCATCCCAGTCTTAGTCCGTAGTGTTCAATATTGAGTTGGCCCACCCTTTGCAGCTATAACACCTTCAACTCTTCTGGGAAGGCTGTCCACAAGGTTTAGGAGTGTATCTATTAAATGTTTGACCATTCTTCTAGAAGCACATTTGTGATGTCAGGCACTGATGTCGGACGAGAAGGCCTGGCTCGCAGTTTCCACTCTAATTCATCCCCAAAGGATTCTGTCTGGTTGAGGTTAGGCCTTTGTGCAGGCCAGTCAACCCAGTCCACCCAAAATCGCTCATCCATGTCTTTATGGACCTTGCTTTGTGTACTGGTGCGCAGTCATGTTGGAACAGGAAGGGGCCATCCCTAAACTGTTCCCCCAAAGTTGGGAGCATGAAATTGTACAAAATGTCTTGCTATGCTGACACCTTAGGAGTTCCATTCACTGGAACCAAGGGACCAAGTCCAACCTCTGAAAAACAACCCGACACCATAATCCCCCCTCTACCAAACTTTAAACTTGGCACTATGCAGTCAGGCAAGTACCGTTCTCCTGGCAACCGCCAAAAACCCAGACACATCCATCAGACTGCCAGACAGGGAAG